ACTTAGTTACTTAGATAGCTTTCAACCAAGTTCTCAGTGCTTATCGCTATTTCAATGATGTAATGCCAATTTAACGCATTATTTACTTATTTCTTCAAATCGTGAAATAACGTTTTCTTAAAAATAAAATTTACAGTTAATTACTTTCCTGAGTGATGTAAAAATTGTGTTTCGAAAATTACGTAATGAATTTATTAAAAAAAAAAAACAACGTATCCGGTAAAAAGAAAAGTAGGTTTAACAGTAGCTTAGTTCGTTTAATTAAAAACGAATAAACAACGCAACAGTTTTCGCGCATTTTGAATAGCTGAACCGCGGCACGACGTGAATTCAAATCGAAAAGGTATTCACCCTCCTCGTCACCTCGCGTGAGAAGAAGGTTAACCCCGTAGAACGATCCGACCTTGATAATAATTCCGAAAGAATGAGAGAGGAAGGTTGGAAGAACGGGGAGACCTTCGAAGTGCGCGTCACCGTAGGTCTTCCTCCTCTCCCCTCCACCACCCTCCTCCCCCTCATCTTTTTCCGCAACTTGGCCACGATTCTTCGAATTCAGTGAAACTGGTCCTGCAACAATTTGTTATCCGGCATCCATCGAAGAAGCTCCCCGGATCGATCACTAATAACCCTCTTTCTCGTCCTCCCTTTTCCTCCACTTCTTCTTCTTCTTCTTCTTCTTCTTCTTCTTCTTCTTCCCCTATATACGTGACCATCCTCGTCCTCTGCTCTGCACCTCTTATCCACCTCCTCCTCTCCCTCTTTCAAGCGAAAAAGCGTAACATCTAACATCGAAGTTTTTGAACGAATTTATCGGTCCATTTTGTTTTTTAATTATTCTTAATCAAAATCGTGGAAAACATCGAGAGGAACTCTTATTCGGGAGACGTTTGCACGAAACGGGCTAGGAATTCGCTTTCCTTTTGTTCCTCTTCTTCTTCTTCCGTTATATACGTGGCCATCCTCGTCCTCTCCTCTCCACCTCTTAACCCTTCCCTTAAGCGTAACATCGCGTATAGTTTTTAAACGAATTTATCGGTCCGTTTTTGTCTTTTTAATTATCCTCCTAATCAAAATCGTGAAAAGCATCGAGAGGAACGGGCTTTCCTTTTCTTCCTCTTCTTCTTCCGCTATATACCATTCCCATCCTCTGCTCTTCATCTCCTCCTTCCCCTCACGTGGAAAATCTAACATCTAACATCGGGTACCGTATCGAAAAGAGAAAACCAACGTCGTGGCTCCATTCGTTTTCAACGAATTTATCGATCCGTTTTAAATTTTTAAAATTATTCTCCTAATCAAAATCGCGGGAAACATTCAGGAGACGGACCACTTTTGCATGAAACGAGTTCGCTCTTCCTCCTCCTCCTCCTCTTCTTCTTCTTCTTCTTCTTGGATGGATCGCGTGCGTTTTTTGAAACAGCCGATCTTAATTAATTTCCTCGGCGGTGTTTTATTCTCGCGGACACCGGCGTCGCGTCTCGCCGCGGGATGACACAATTTATAGCAAGGTAAATTCTCGGCCGTTCGCGGTTTCGAAACGATTTGCTCGTTTTTACTCACGACCACGGTGTCGCGTCCTGGCTGTTCGTCTTTAAACGGTCCGCCATACTGTCCCTTATATTATCGCGTTTATCGCCCATCAAATCGTCCTTCATCCGCGGACGAGAAAAAAACGGGGGGGAAAAGAAAGAAAGAGAAAAGAAGAAGAGGAAAATAAACTCCGGCCGATCCGGCTCGCGAGATTACGCTGTTCTACGCCGCGACGAGTGTGTAAGCAACTTTGTGTAAATCTCTCGGCGCAAGGTTGTCAATTATCGTCGTTCGGTTACCCGATCGAGCATATTAACGTCGCCGTCGTTGGTCCAAGAGTATCGCCTGTTACGACACCGGCGGTGAGAATATGATCCCGAAGAAATATTCGAGAAACCGGCTAACTTTCCAACAATTTCAAACATTTCGCGGGATCGAAACTACCATCGAATACATCAACGAGAGATTCCCCTTCTCTCGAATGGATATCTTCTCTTAATAAGAAAAAAAAAAAGAAAGAAAAAAATCGGAAGCTTTATACTTATAGGCTTTATATCAGAGAGATCGTGGATATACCCATAATGGATATACCTTCGTTCGTATCGAATTTTTTCACGGCCGACAACAACGTAGCGTAAGAATTTTTCCTCGATGCATCGGGGAAGAAGCATCGACGTGAGAGCGCAACATCATTTATCACGCGCCAACCATCGCCGCGTGTATATTTCCAACGTGGAAACCGTTAACACGTTTCACGTTTTTAATTGCCGCTCCTCGCCGATTTCCCTGGTTTAATAACTCGCGGCCGTTTCCGCAACAAGCAAGCGTTTGCATACCTTTTCCGAAAGATTCGAAAGAGAGTGGAGGGGAGAAAACGATTGAATCGAACGATCGAAATTTATAATATTTGCGGAGGCTTCGCGAAATTATCTTGCGGGCGTATTACGTCGCGCGCACCTCGTAAATCACTCGTCGTTCCGCAACACGCCAGAGGAGAAGAGAAACAATGAGCGTTTGCGTATAAGCGGGCAGGTGCGTATCGAGGAAGGGAGGCGCCTCGCTCACAACTTTCTCTCGAGCCAATTTCCTAATTTCCTAATAAGAACCCTATGAAAAACCCTTGTGTCGTCGCAAGATTTACGCTTTTTACTTTTTATGAAGATAAACAAATCGAAGGAGGGACACTATCCTAGATGATATTAATTTACTTGAATATAATCTCGAAGACGATCTCTCCGTGGAAATTACACGTTATCACGGGAGCGATAGATAAGGGGAGGGGAGAAAAGTGACAGCAGATTCTACGAGGAAAAGCTGGTGGAGATATTAAGAGCGGGACCACTTTGTCGTACGAGGCTTGGGCAAAGAGGAGGAAAGTGACGCGGCACAGGGAGCTGATATGAACGGGTAGCCAGGGACACCCACGTGTGACAAGGCATCGCATAATCTAGCGGACATTTAGCGTAGGCAGGGTGCACTAGCCGCGGTGGCTGCAGGTGCTTCAATGGACAGGTGAAATTTCATAGCGAATCAACGATACCGATTAATCGTCCGCGTCTCGACGACGTGGAAAAGTTTCAATCCAAGTTGGAACGAATCTTAAGATCATCAAGAGATGGCGCGAGATCAAAGAGCATCAGGAGTGGGAAAAGTTGCGAGAAATTGGTATGAATTTCGACGAAGTAACGACGATATTAGGGAGAAACGATGTTGCTCGTTAAGTATTCACGACAAACTACATTTACCCCGGATGAACATCGTCGTTGGAACAAGCAACATTAGCTATGTACGTATATATATATGGTAAGTTCTCTCGGGTAGCTGCGTGACTTACAAGCCTCGAGTCTATATTTCAACGGACGTTAAAGCCGAGGTCGATTCCATCGTGATGGAGAGACTCGATGGTGTGGTGTGTTCGAAGCTCGGATCATTACACCCGTTATAAGCTGTCACATAGCTCATCTCACACACGTGGCGCGGGCCCGCACACCGATATCCCCCGTCCGCCACTTTGGCATTTTTTCTATTTTGCAATCAGCCCCGCATCAGCCTCGCCTAACTTACAAGCGTCACTTTCGATCCTTTTTAAAAACGTTCGCGCGCAGAAACGATCAAGACGCGTCAGACTGAGACAGAGGACTCGTTCGATTTAATTATCCCGATACAGATATCCCGTACCACGGAACCGCCTCTTGAATTCTAAACCGAGTGACCTAAAATCCAGTTTTCATCGATGAGTGACGCGCCTCCACGTGACTGATAATTGGAACGAAAGTCTTCGACGCGACGAAGAAAGACAACGATAACATTAATAATTCTTTCGCGTCCCTCCTTTCGAATTTTTCTACGCCTCGATCGAGGAGAAGTTTATAAAGAAAAAATTTCGTTTCGAGAATAATATACCAACAACAATTCCGTTACAATCTTTTTGCGACACGCGTGGCACGATGTACGCGCGCTCGATCACACGCGGCCGAGAATCGAAAGGTTAAACCGAAGATGATGCTCTTCTGTACATCGTTGCGTCACCACAGCCGCGAGATAGGACTTTCACCGTGCGCGCGAGACGAGAGCGATTCTTGGCCGGCAGAAGGGCAAAAACAGATGTGTCTCTTCATCGCTTCGAGATCGTTAAGGTCAATTACCATGGTCGATTTCTTGCGAGCGAGGAACGCAAGAAGAAAAGGGGGAAAAAAGAATCCCGTGATAATTCGTCAAAGGGAATCCGGTCGGTAAAAAAGGGGCTCTCCCTTTCCCTCCGCGAATGAGCGTAATTAGAATTAACGACCGCGGGATTAATTAGACACGTATCCAAGCGGGAATCCGCTTGAAATATCATCGACATATATCAGTACTAGTAACCGGTAAAACGACGAATATCTTAGCGTCGCGTAGATTAGCACAGTCGTAACCCTGTTACGTGTGCTAAAAGAAGAAGAAGAAAAAAAAAAAAACAAAATGGAAAACGCATGTATATTCGTATATTTAACCATTTATTTTCTTTACGAACGAACGTACGCTCAGTTTTATTAATATAATTGAAACCTGCCTCTGCATCGCGTACGTACGAGCATCGTAGATATAGGACGTGCCTAAACACGAAACTGATTAACTTTCTCGAGTTAAGTTTTTCAACTTTTTAATTTTACTTCTACGATTTGAATCTTGAATCCAATCGATCGGATGATCGTGCAACTCATATTACACGTATTTCACGTTTCATCCTTACCTTTTCAATTTATTTTTTTAATCGGTCGATCAAGCATACGTATATCCAACCTCATCATCTTATCCCATATTCGATCTACCGATATACCTTGACAAATTTATGTCTAATATACGTATAATTATATATATATATATATATATATTTGCCCCAAGCGCTGTTCATCCCAGATTAATCCAATCGCATGGGATAATTTACAAATTATTTCTTATTAATCGGGTTAGCTATCGATACTACGACTTACCGGTAGAAGAAGTAACGAGGATGGGGAATGCCTGGCCGCAGCTTGCCTAACACCGAGGAAGTGCAGCAGGGGATCCTCGAATGCCCTCAGCTCGTCCAGAATCCTCCTGGCCTCTCCGTAGCTCTCCAGGTAATCCCAGTAAGAGTTCCAAAACGAGGCAGGAAACAGATCACCTGGCGACACGAAGGATTAATTAGAAATAATTATCCACTCTTCAGCGACAAATCAGTTCGAATCAATCCTTTTGGCTGTTTCGAGCAACTCGACGAGCCAATTCCAAGATGTCTCTCTTATATACGTATTTTTGTAAATGATAAACTGCGGCCACTTCGGTCTAAGAGAGCAAAGAATTAATACGGAGACAGTCGTCACAATACAAATATGAATAACATCACTCGTAAATGTCGTCGTTTCATAAATGATAACATCGATTAAGGGTACGTTAGAGGGTGGAACTCTCGAGAGTTGTTCTCGACGCTGCGTTCGACAGTGGTATTCGAGAGTTAAGTGACTTAAGATCACTCTCGAAATATTCTCAAAAACAATTCACGAGAGTTTTATCCTCTGAAATGTATTCGCACTCTAATCATGTAATAAAGAAAATTAACGATCTTTCCTCCTCGAAATTCACTTTGAAATTAACGGATGTTTGTGGTATGATTTTTCACGATCCATATTTAATGATCGTTAAGCGATCGCTCGATCACGTAATCAGAAACGCGGTGATGCGTGCGAGTCAAAATCTAAATCATCGCGCTCGTTGACCCATATTCGAGGATATGGACATAAAGACACGAAAGGGAGAGAAAGAGAGAGAGAGAGAGAGTTAATTATCCGGACAAATTCGTGATCTCGAAATTTCGACACGCGAAATTTTTATTCTCGATGATGGAATACCCATGGAATCTCGTGTCCTCCAAAATTCTCTTCGAACAGATTCGATCCAGCGATACATCATCATCTTCTTCCCTACGAAACTCGTTCCTGTTTAACGATCCATACCTTTCTCTCTCTTTCACGCAGTTTCTCGTTCGATGAGATCTTCGCCGCCACGGCGAAGAAAACCTTCCATATTCACGAACCGTGATTCACCATCGAATCTCTCACTTTTTTCCATATTCTGCTTCCATTTTCTTATTCAACTCGTCATAAATAATTCTCATGTCAAATGGACCATGGATTCATTACGAATTACATAGATAAATTTTGTTGATTCGTTGATCCTTGAAGTCCACGTCGATTGCATTTCGCTCAATTTTTATCGTTGAATCCTTCGAATTGTGCGAAAGCGTTAATTAATTAAAAAAGTAAGTTAAATTTACAATTCTACGTGTTCGAACAAAATTTCAGAAAAAAATCGCGTATATAATAATGATACGAGAATTCGCAGAGAGAAGAGGAAAAAAAAAAGAGGAAAGTCTGTGTACTCACTCGATTTGAAGGTACCGCCGTCCCAATTCTCGAGTGCGCTGCGGATCTGAAAGAAAGCAAAACGGGCGCGGTAGAATTGGCTCTTAAAATACAATGACCAAGATACGAGGAAGGGGCGAAAAAGAATAAAGAGGGCCATGTATAATACATGAAGTATAATGCACGAACGAAGGGAGCTCGAGGGGAGTGCCATACGCCAGTTTTATACAACGGGCCGAGTTGGAACCGATCATCGTTTGATTACTTTTTTATATCCCCCCTCCCCCTTTCGATCCAATATCTTTACGCGCAATTGATCTTTTTCAAACGACAAGAAAAAGAAAAAAAGCAATCCTCGTTGAGGGGGGGAAAAAAAACCGTACCACGCGTCGCAAAATTTGCGAATCAAACGGTGGAGGAAAAAATTGTAACGGGTATCTCGATGCGTCCAATTTCCGATCGAAATCCCGATTTGTTTCGAGTTGAGCAAAGTTGAGATGAAAAATTAAACGAAAGAGACTTTCAGAGACAGAGATAGACGTGTTTAGAAGGGTGAAAAGGATTTTTCTTCTTTTTTCAATTTTATTATTTCGATCTGTAGGGTGATTTAGCGTGAAGTTAAATCACGTCCTCGAAACGAGCTTGTCCGTTGAATTATAATATACGCGGCATTATGTCCAATCAGGACGTCATCGAGGGGGGAGCATAACCAATGTGAATAAGCACGGTAGTCCTTGAGTCCTCTTTCTATCGGTGGGTATTAAAGTGTCGATCAAACTCGGGGTCGGAAATCCTCCTTGAATAATAAGAAATAAACGAGAGAAAGAGAGAAAGGAGAGAAAAATATTGTTACACCTATCAATCGCCATATATAGATCCTTCGTTTCTTCAATTTGTATATGATAACGTCTGTGCATCTGAGATGATAACGACAAAATCCAAACTAAACTTACGAACACGCTTGAACGCGCATCTTTTTTTTCCTTTTTCTTTTTTTTTTCTCTTTGCGTGTCAAATAATTTAAACTCGTTACGATTATTGGAAGGGTTATGGCATTCGTCAAATCGATGCATAAATTTTCACGGCTTATTCAAACAGATTGGTCGAAGGAAGCGACGACCAATACGATACTTGGAGTATACTTGGAGCACCGTGAACCGATCGACCACGTAGATACGAGGACCTTGTAAAGGACCAAACGACACCCACTTAACTCTTTAACGAGTAACATTGTCACGAGGGAATCCACTTATCGTATATACGTATCCATTACGGTAGGTGAAGTCGTACGACAATGTGTATAAGATATCACTCGTAAAGAGGCAGTATCGATGCGTTATGTTAATCGGCGCCGCGTTTAATGGTTAATTTCAACGGAGCCGTAAAATCGGGAGAAAGTCGTGTAAAATAAAAGTGGCGGGGACAGGTGGGCACGATCTGTATTTGCATTTCTTTAGCCCAATGATCGTACGGCGAATCAAAATTAATCGGTGGTTGCCTCGACATTTTTTTCCACCCGGTTGCCAATTATCGATACTCTGTTAATTGCCCCCCGGCCCCTATCACGGACATCGTGTAATCATAATAAAATTGCTTGTCTCCGTCTCCCCAGAGACTCGGTTAACGAGCAATTCGTCCACCTTTAATTGCCATCTTTCACGTAGACAAATACCTTCTTTTCCCTTTTTTCTTTTTTTAACTTATATACCTATACGCGATTTATAAAGTTACGCGCGATCGTTTCGACAATGCGCTTAATATCCCTGGAATTATACGGCACGGAATATAGAGAAGGAAAGGAAAGGAATAAAAAAATTTTTAGGAAGCGCATCCAAGCATGGGATCCAGCAAGCATCTCCACGTGGAAAAATGAACGAGAGAAAAGAGGTTGTTTAAGTTTAAAGAGGTCGTCGACCTTCTTCTCTTATACTTAAAAAAAGAATTATAACCACATGTGAGTCATAAACTAGACGATAAACCATCTAAAAATGAGACGAGCTCGTTTATAATATATATATATTCGTTTCTTTCTAAAACGTCGTTGCACGATTCGATTAATTGCCCAAATATCTTTCGATAATCGCCCTTCGAGAAAGAAGCCCGGTTTTCCATCCGTGGAAAAGAATCTCGACGGGGATGCCAGCTCGTCATCCACGATATTCCACGAGGAGGAAACGCCGCCACGTGAAATCAATCCCATCGCCTCCGCTCGGATCAATTTTCGCGGTATCATCGATCAAGGGTTCGGATGCGAAGGGGATGGATGCGTCAGCGGGATGACGGCCGCACCCCGGCCGAATAATAAATTGGAAAAAAGTATTACGTGTGGATGCATGGGGGAGGGGAAAGGCGGACGCACGTTGCATTGTCACGTCATCGGCGACGGCGTGACGGTGCTCGATGCGTTTCTTATTGTCAGATACGTATCTACGTTAAGGCGCGCACGCGTTGCGTGTGCCCATGCATTTATGCATCGCATTATTACGCGCCGGTGATGCCGAGCATACGCCGTGACCCATTCATTTCCGAGCCTTGTATCCTCGAAAACTCCAATCCTAGATTAATTATGAATTATTCATATTCATGAGACCGTGTATATATATATATATATATATATATATATATATATATATATATATAGTAGAGAGAGAGAGAGAGAGGGGAGGAGGA